AATAGCTTTCTAAGCAAATAATTCGAATAGCTTCATCAAGTAACTAAGTAACAATGCGATAACAGTAGATAACCTTAGAAGCTTCCACTGCAGCTGCACGTTTTACTTTACGTTGCATATTCGCTGTCGAGTCCTTGGAGCTGCTCATAAATTCTTTAATTATGTAAATTATAGTGTGCCATAAGCAGCACTTTTCGTGATTAAACACAAACAAATGGAACGTAGGTGAAATGAATAAACATTTAAATCTCAAATCAGAAGCACAAAACAGTTCTTTTCAAGGTGTCTGGAAATTCATTAACTTCTACGACCTGATTTTACTTTTAATTGTCTTGCTTACTTTTACAAAGGGACCTGCCACAACCAAAGATCAAAAACTGCATCATGCATAGTAATACTCCATAAAGGAATACCATATGCAGTTTCTCAGCAGCTACTTGATTACATAACACTGTTCGACAAGCGTACGAATCAGTATTAATATCCATAATCAGAACCACATGGGACTATTCGGCAGCGTATAATACTTTGAGCCATATTATTTTCATGTTTCCTCCATTTCCCTTATTACTCTTCGCTCAAAAATTTGCATATTTTTGAAAGGTGTTTTTAAAAATCACTTTCGTCTATATGAATTAAACTCCAACTTCAACTCCCAAATTTACCGGATCACAATGCGACCTGTATTCGATCTTTGGAATTCCCATCTTTAACTTACAGACTCCACGAAAACACCAACAAACATCCCGCCCTAGCTGCACGAAACAGAAGCATTCATTCCACCCACAGTTTTCCGGGTTTTCCAAACCATGCGCCATTTGAGACACTGCCAAGGGTTTTGACCGTAGTCAGAACAATCGTTCCAGGATATAAAAAAATATCTCCTGAACACACAGGCTGCATTGCCATACTCAAGGCGGGGGAAAGACTCGCTTTCCTCTATCGCTCGGCGGGGAAGGAGGTTCGAGCGTGTATTGACAGACAGATTGTTTCTGAGGTACGTAACGTGGCGCTACCTTATAACTGATTTCCGTGGAGGTCTGGATAATTGAAAACGAGTGAATCCCGATTCAAACCAGCTGACCGTTCCTACGATGAATGTTTGCAACACTCTTGGGCAGCGCAACGCTTGCACTTCCTCCATCCGGAACAGTTTATTGCAATGCGTCTCACAGCAGAAAAGCGGGCTCCATTAAATCTCGTACATGTGTTTTTAGGGCGAGTGGGGCGTAGTCGGATGAGTGGGGTATGGGGGGATAAAGGTTCGGGTCGTTGTACGTAATTTTGTGTGGAGCAGAATTATGTGGCTTTATTTTTACGAGAGAGCTAAAGGATTATTTGTACACCTGACATTCACGTTCATCTGTATAGTGATCTTGGATATCAATTGGATAAGCTATAAGGCCCGAAATGGACATTACTTTAGGAAGTGCGATGTAAAATATGCAAATGTTTGCTACTTACTGCATGGACATTACGTTCTAACCGACGATTCTCGCGAGGGATTTCGGGCACAGCGTTAGCACTGTCCGATATATTTTTAGTGGGCTGTATCGATTAGTTCAACTTCTTTTCCTGGTGTAACAGAAACAATATCATTGTGATAATGGGTGAGCCAGTAGCGAAGCGCTGCAAGACAGATAACGAAACAAATGGCGATAACTCGAAGGTGGTTTGAAATTCAGCTTTGTTTTAGATGGTTTTTAAGTATGGGCATAATTGGGGTGTCGTTGTAGATTGGTCTGAATCATTCCTTTATTAGTTCTTCATCAAGAGTAAAAGTATAGAGAGCATCTTACAAGGATTTTTCTAGATATATCACACAAATCCATTGAAATTATGAGCTTGGTTAGGCTATGGAAAAACCTATGGAAAAATGATTGCTGTAGCTCTTAATTCTGGAGGAGGGCAAAGAGAAAATGCTGAAACTGTTAGTTTGACTAGGATATGATTTTCTCAGAGTACCTCATATTTGTAGGAACTCCGAAGGTCTTGTAGAATTATCGGGTGGTTCAAATCATTGCGGCTCAACTTTTCAGGAGCCTTTTCAGACATAACTGAAACAAATAAATGTAATGAGGTAGATATATTACAGTTCGCTGTGCTGATTACACTTATATGATGACGCTGAGATTTTCTACATGAATTGTGTGTGTGCTTTCTTGAGAAAAGTCATTCTTGTAGCATTTCAGTGGTCACTTGAAATCATCGTTCAGTTTCCTTCATCTCATTTTGCATGCCACTGAATCACATTTATTTCATATCATCCAACGAGTATTTCCATAGCATAACTCCTGTCAATTATTTGTTTAAAAACAAGTGCAAGTTTCATTCATACGTTATGATGCGCCAAATTTGCTCGTGCTTCCAGGTGGGTGACTATGATGCTGCCACACAGAAAATTCTGGAGCAAATTGATCAAGTGCAAAGTGAAATAGATTCACTAAATGAGAAAGCAAGCGAGGAAATATTGAAGGCTAGTTCTCATAGTTTTTTTCTTTTAATGGTTTGTCTTCATCAAAAGTTCCTTGAAAGTCTCATGACTTCGAAAGTCAAGTACAGAACGATTCTGACGTTAGTACGTCTGTATAGTAGTCGACATGCAGGTCTGCTGAAAAAAATTTAAATGTGTATGTCTTAAAGTTGCTCCGTTTTATCATCTTAATGACTTATTGCAATGTTTTAAGCCTCTACTGACCATGTATAGTAGCTTCTTAGTAGAATTATGTCATAGGCCTCTGTGATGTTCAGTTATTGCATTTAGTCATTATAGGTTCTCCATGTCGCGTTATATTTGAGTTTTTTAAAATTTTGTTGAAAGTTCGAAACATTTCTTTAAAGGTTGAACAGAAGTATAACTCTCTTCGAAAGCCATTTTTCGACAAACGCAACGACCTTGTTCGCGACATTCCTAATTTTTGGGTCACTGCAGTAAGTTTTTTAAGATTATTTTTGCGTCGTATATTGATGAAGATCGAATTTTCTTCCACTAATTGCTGTACAACGAGATCTGGATAGTGACGAAGCTGAAATGCAAATTCTCTCTTCTGGCGTGTTCCAGCAAAGGACAACTAAAGTTTGAAATTTCTAGCGCTGGAAAGTGAGCACTGCATAAGGACGAAACAGAAATGCTGTTTGGCAGATTTCATTAAATAGGATTTGTAGTGTAGAAATTCCAATTCCTTAATCTGAATAGAACAAAATTTATTCAGCCATTCAGTTAACATAATTTAGGAAGAGAACAAGTCATTTCGTCATCATGTAGTCTTGAGAAGTTCACGTTTTGGTGTCTAAATGCCAGGTTCCTAAACATCATTCAAAGCAAATCATTCGAATTCGTTAAAACTTTTTAGTTTGTCAACCATCCAAATATCAGTGCGATATTAGACGAAGAAGAAGAAGAATGTTTACATTATCTTACTACAGTTGAGGTTTGTCTTTTCATGAATTCTATGACTTTAATTTATACTTCAGGATATTCTGTCCATTATTAGGTTTGAGAACTTCATCTCTTGAGAACTGAAATATTGTCATCTTGAAGTATGTTATTATTTCCAATATTTTATCCAACATTGTTATTAAATTTTTTAGTTTTTATATGTGATTTGTTTAGCTTTCATTATCCACAGTTGACTTCGAAAATAACATCCCTGTGAGTTGTCACTAGAATTTTCTTTAGGTGGAAGAGTTTGATGACATCAAGTCTGGATATAGGATTAAATTGACATTTGATGAGAATCCGTTCTTTGAAAATACTCAGCTTGTCAAGGAGTTCTTCCTCGGTGATTTTGAACCGACAAGTACCACGACTGTCATCAAATGGAAGCCAGACAATGATCTCCTGAATAAAGTATGTACCATCTCTTCAAAATGTTTGCTTCCATCTTCATGTGGTTTCATGTTCGATTACAGTGCAGTCTACTTTCTTTGAAGGTGAAAACCAAGGGTCAGAGTGGCGGTGATGTAACGTCAACGCCACGTTCATTTTTCGCTTGGCTATCAGATAATCAGGATCCAAGTAACGACGAAATTGCAGAAGTAGGTTTCAGTAGTTTAACTCGTTATTCCAAAAAGATTGGAACACCTCCACTCTCGTATATTGTTTTCTTATTGTATAGTCTCATTCGAAATTTATGCTTCACATATCAACTTTCACTGTTGCTTGACATTTTGCTAGCTCCTAGTTTATGCATTAGATATTTGTTATAGTTAATTAAAGACGACCTTTGGCCGAACCCGTTGCAATACTTTTTGGTGCCAGAAATGGATGAAAATGCCGGGGTTTCCGGCGATGATGATAATTTTGATGATATTTTCGAGGAAGCCGATGATGCTGGCGAAGATAACGAGGACTGAATGGAATTAGCTTCGGGTAGGCCGTATGCTAGTTTTTCTGGTTTTTTCTGCTGTTGCAGTGAGGATAAGGGCTGG